GTGCCCAGGTGTTCTTGGGCTTAATATGCCAGGAAAGGATGAATTATTTTTTCCCACTAGGTGAAGATGCACACTAAATTGGTTTTAAGTACAGAAACTTTGCTCCCTCTGATAATATTCACTTAAGGGTGTGGTCATTAGTTCTGGCGCTGTCTTCTTATGGGTGGGTCCATTATACCCTGTAATTCCCCTGAACCACATCTTGAGCATGGAGGGAGCCTGTATTCAGAAGTTCAAACTTGTAGGGATGCCAGGGGTCTTGGCAGGGGTGCCAGCCTGAGGGGAGCTTAGGGGTCAAAGCTGAGGTTCTTAGGGACAGTGTCACTTATGCTGGGCTCCTTAGCGCTCTGAGTGGGACCTAGCCAAGTACCGCCAGTCGTCACAAGGGGGAGTGCTCGGAATATGGACCAGAAGAATGAAGGTGCTCAAAACAGAGCATGTTGGTAATTAGAATTATTTATAGGAAGATCTTATTTGATATACAAGAATCGTGCTTTTTTTGCACCTAAAAACATACAAAAATTAAAAGCAGTATAACTGAAGTAAATAAATGCATCAGCTTTCTAAGCCTTAAAACTGCTTTCCATATCCCTCAAGGACTAGATGCAAAGGCAGACAAGTGAACAGGCGAATTATAGTCACTCCCCAGAGTGGGGACTGTGTCTTCATTGCCAGTTCAGCTGCATCTAGCAATGCCTGTCCCATTGTATCTACTGAGCAAGCAGTCAATAGATACCCAGTGAGTGAATAAATGAACAAATGGGTAAGATTTGCACAGTCTTCAAAAGGGATCAATCAGTGCTCTCTTCTTTTTTTAGAGAGAGAGAAGGGAATTGATTTTCTTTTTATTTCTAAAAATATTTATTTATTTATTTTTAGAGAGAAGGGAGGGGAGGGAGGAAAAGGGGAAAGGAAACATTGATTGGTTGCCTCTCTCATGTGTCCCAACAGGGGACAGAACCCACAACCCAGGCATGTGCCCTGACCAGGAATCCAACTGGTGACATTTCACTTTGCCAGATAATATGCCCAACCAACTGAGCCACACCTGCAAGGGCTCAGTGCTCTTAATCAAAGAGAAAGCTTTCTTTGGGTAGATCTGTCAGATGCTGGGGACCTGAAGGAGTGAAGTAGCTTAGAATACACATATTCTTATAGAGTGAAATCAAATGAGGTACACCATACATTGAGTCATGAAATGCAAATAGGACGTTTGTTTTTGCCTTTTAATTAGGAGGCCCTGAAACTTATGAATGAAGTTCAAGAATACCTGGAAGAGGGAGAAAGGTTATGCCAGGAGTCTCTGGCAGATTTCTGGGACGAATGCAAGTCTTGCCTGGAAAGTGACTGCATGCGATTTCATGCAACCTGCCGACCTAGTTGGTCCTCTATGGAAAATATGGTAAGGAAATAAGAGAGCATAAGATTTCAAAGTTAAGTACCTACTTCAGCTTACTTTTAAAACATTAATTTATATTAATATTTAGAATATAGATGCCTGATCTGATACTGGCCTTTTGCCAGTTAACTTTATAAGTTAAAACAACCATTCAGTATTTGTCCCACCATTTAATGACACTGTATGTATCTCTCTTAGAAACACCCTGACTCTTTCTGTCTTGTATTTATTACTGGTGAACACATTCCCACTAGATTGTAAACTCTTTAAAGGCAGGGACCATATCTCATCTATCCTCATTAAAGCATTATAGATATCCAATAAATGTTTGCTGCATTGTATTCTGAATAATAGTCTTATAGTCTCTGATTTCAAGCTGCTTTAATTTTTTTCCCTGGAGGCCAGACATCTGAAGACATTCTTTGCCTCCTGAATCTTTTTCAATGGGTTTGCCCTCTATGGCAGCATGCACACAAGTATGCACGCACAGAAATTCGTGTCCCCTTTGGGCTGTCCATGCATGTCTTACAGGACTGGCATGTTTTCTTTTTTGTCCCCTTTGGCTATCTTCTGGACAGAGGAAATCACAGAGGGGGGTGACCTGAATAGGTTGAGCTCTGCCCTATAAAAGTCTCCTACTCTATTGGCCTGAATTTCCTTCCCCTTCAAGAAGTGAGCTGAATATGAAATGGAGTGAAATTTCCCTCTCCATATTAGAGCACGCACTAATTGGAGTATGCTTCTGGCTTGGCAGTACCATACCCAATTACAGAGTGAGCAACCCTTAGGATGTTTCATACGCCAAGTTAATTTGCCTCCCCTGTTAATTGCATCTGCTCTATTTTTATTGCCACTCTGTAATACACCAGAATATGGTTGAATAAGCACTGGCTGGAAGTCAGGAGGTTTGGGGACCATTCCTATCTGTGTCAGTTGTATGGCCTTATGAAAATTTCTTGGGGCTTTAAGGTTTTGCTTTTGTAAATGGATTCAGGTCAACAGAAGCTGGCAGAGGGAAAGGCAGATGATCCACCCAGATTACTTTTTGAGAAAGGCATGAGTTCTCTAAGAATTTCTGGAGAACTCTTTGAACAGCACCAGGAGGCTGTAGCAGTGATGTGTATGTTCCATAACGCGCAGTGTAACCATACCACTATCATGTAAGGGCAACTGTGTTCTGGCACAAACTTATGTGTCATAAAGATGAAGCAGAACATTGTGTAACTGCTGGAAAATCTGCTCCCAATGAGTAGAGAATTCCATAATTAGAGCTTCATTCCTTTCACTAGAGCCAAGAAGGTCTTTGATGACTGCAAATGAGTAACATCCTAAGTAACCTATTTAGCTGTAATAGGCATCTACAGTTTAGTGTAAACATTTTGATGAGATGAGAAAGAGCAGAGCATAGACCCCGATGCAGTGTGCTGAAGGGAAAAAAGAAGAACTAAGACACTAAGCAGAGGTGAAAGACAAGAGCCTTATTCATAGTTTTCAGTCAATTTACATAGTACCCTTTGGACCAGGGTATGCCAGCCACCACTAGTGCATTAGCCTGTGGCTTGTCAAAAATATTGAAAACTTGGTCTTTTTAGGCCTTTTATAGGCTAACATAAACCAAAAGGAATTACAGATCCTATGTCTATAGTCAAAGTCAAAGCCACTACAAGAGTGTTAATAAATTATCTTATATTGAATTACTTTTTCCTAGTTTGCCCAGAATTGTTCTTGATTTAGAATGACTACTGTAAGTTGACTTTAAAATTTCCAATAAAAAATAGAACAGAAAGATAATAAATTTCTTATTCCATTCTGTCCCTGACCCCACAGATTGAACAGTTTTTCAGGAAGATATATCAATTTCTGTTTTCTTTCCATGAAGATAATGAGAAAGCGCTCCCTTTTGGTGAAAAGGTCACGGAGGAAGATGCACGAGTGACCCAGATAGAGCACGTGTTCAGCCAGCTGGTGGTGGACGTGAGATTTCTCTTTAACAGGAGTTTTCACATCTTTAAACAGATGCAGCAAGAATTCGACCAGGCTTTTCAGTCATATTTCATGTCAGATACAGATGTACTGGAGCCTTACCTTTTTCCAGCTTTATTCAAAGAGCCAGTGAGAAAAGCAGGTCTCGTGCGAAGCTGGCATGTTCCCAGCTTCTTCCAGCTGTTCAGTGACTTCAGTCTCTCCGTTTATCAAAGTGTCCGCGCAGCAATTACTGAGACACTGAATGCCGTGGACGATTCACCCAAACAACACGAAGGCGAGTATTAAAAGATTATTTTTACTTAGATGTTCATACTAAAGTCGAGTTTTATTAGCTTTGGGGATAATAGACCATTCTACGTCATTGTGCAGAGTTTCTGAGAATGACAATTTATGGACAAAGTTTCAGAGGCTCGTAGAAGCTCTGACGTCTGCCAAGCACTGTCCCTCTTTTATTACTGTTGAGAGTTCGGTGGGCATGTTCCGTCATTAAAGCAAATTATCAAAGCTGAAAAGGAAAATGCGACTAGGGTGAGAACTTTTGTAGGAAAAATGTTGCCTCCTTCACTAAAATTCCCGTGGATGTTCAGCTCCATTCTGCTGGAACATCATGGAGTTTCTTTAAAATAATAAGATCCTCAACTCCCGGTAGGGAAGAAACCCGGCGTTGCATAAAAGCAGGTCACATGTGGTACCCCCACGGCCTCCTCTGTGTCACTACTTAATTCCTTAACTCATAACAGTTATGCAGGAAGCCACAGAAACTTCTCATAGACAAACCCAAAACTTCAGAAAGAAGAATTTCTGTAAAACATATGAATTGCCTTCTATCACTCCCACTCATGCCCACGTTTCAATATTTCATGTTGGAGAAACAATTCTGCTTTGTGTTTCCAGACGGAAGGAGAAAACGTCTTCAGGCTTCTGTAGAGTGGCCGGGACGCAGCATCTCAGAAATGAAAGTTGCCTGCGAGCCCGCTGTAGGGCCTGCTCTTCCTGGGCCTTCTTCCCCGTTGACCACTGAGGCTGTTCCCCTCTGACGCGGAAGATAAAATGGGCTCCTTCCAAAATCCCGTCATGTGTGACAATGTGGATGACCCTGGAGAATATGATGCTAAGTAAAATGAGTCGAGCGCAGAAGGACAAATACAATAAGCTCTCACTTTTATGAGGAATCTAAGTCAAACTCACAGAAGCAGAGAGGGGAATGGTGGTTGCCAGGTGCTGAAGGGAAGAGGATATGGGAAGGCGGTGGTCAAAGGGTACAAAGTGTCAGTTCTGTAAGATGAGTAAGTGCTGCAGACCTACTGCACAGTTACCATAGTTACCGACACTGTATGTCGCAGGTGGCAAACACAAGGCCTGCGTGCTGAATCCAGCCATCTGCCTTGTTCCTACCCAGCAGCAGCACCGAGCTCTCACTTAACGTTAAGGAGCAGTTACATTTACATAGTCCTAAAATGACATTCAGCCCTTTGAAGGCAACCGCGAGGCTGATGTGGCCCCTGGTGAAAATGAGTTTGATACCCTTGCTCTACTGGATGCTTAAAAAAATTACCAAGAGTATAGAGCTTATGTTAAGAGTTCTTGGCAATAATAATAGTAATAATAATGACAGAGCAGGAGGACATTTTTAGAGGTGATGGATAGTTTTATGGCATAAATTGTGAGAATGATTTTATGGGTATATACTTATTTCCAAACTCATCAATTTGTACATACTAATTGTATATAGATATTTTTGTATGCCAGGGGGAAAGAGGCTCCTTCTAAATATTTCCCAATCATATCAGCTGTAGTTGGCATTTGAATCAAATTCTTAAAATTCCCATGACATCACATAACAGGCCTCTGTGTAGGCGGGGCTCACCTCACACTGTCAGAAACTGAAGCCAGGAAATAATGCATTACACCCTTCCCGTCCAATTGTTCCATGAGTGGAACAGTCATCATTCCTGGAATTGTTGTTAGGTTCTATTTCAAGGCCTGGTGGACTTTTCTGGTAAGTCAGGTGTTTTGTCTGGTATTCCATTCTGAGATTCCAAGCTCACCAAATATTCAAGAAAAGCATAAGGGCAACAGATTAATTAGGTCTGGCACAAATAACACCCTTTTTTTAATACGAAAATCTTTTATTACAAAATCATAAGCATGACATTCTGTAACATAACAATATCACATTCGAGCACACCTTGTGACATTTTAGGTGAAATGTTCGAATTGAAACTATAAATTATTACACCCATACTATTACCCCACCAACCACACTCAAGCAGGCCTTACTTCTGCCAGATCCTGTATATCAATGTGGGCATGATATTGGATAATTTTTGCCTGAAATTGTAAGTAGATATCAATTGCCTTGGACTAGTATTCCAATAATAAAGAACATGTTCATTAAAACAAAATTATGCACCCTTCCCACACTATATAGCAATCTTACACATAATTTGCTACATTCAGATAGATGTGCACAGGAATACTAGTAACTCCCGAAGTTGAAATGGAAACAAATTTCCAACCATTGCAACTCCCTTCTCCCCGCTAACTCAGAATGTGCCTTCCGCCAGCCTGCCAGGGCCCACTCCCCATTCACACACTCTCGGACCAGACCCTACTCTCAGCCGGTTCCTGGATCCCCGCTCCCTGCCTCTTGTACCACTTTCACCTCGGTGATAACTTGGAGATCCAGAGTTCCCTATAAATGCAAAAATTAAAGACAAAAAACAAAATAGCAAACAAAAAGAGCCTGTGTTACACCTTTATATTCTTCTTTATCCAGTGCCTCTACCCTAACCAGATGGTACACAGCAAACTCAACAGAGGAGACATTCTCTTCGCAGATGAACACATGAGGATGATTTATCAAGAATAGACAGGTAGCCTCGGCTGATGTGGCTCCGGTTGGAGCGTTGTCTCGTAGCAGAAAGGTTGCAGGTTCGATCCCAGGTCCAGGCATGTACAAGACACAACTGACACTTCACTCGCATCAATGTTTCTCTCTCTCTCCTTTCCTCTCTCTAAAAGCAATGAAAAAAGGTCCCAGATGAGGATAAAAGAAAAAAATAGGCAGGCAGGAGTTAGAGGGTATTTACAAGCAGTTTCCATCACTTTTCTGGACAGGTGATAGGTGAAAAATGAGCCCATTGCCCCAGAAAATCCATCCAACGAGAAGACATTTTGAACTTTACTTCTTGTGGTTGGAAGAACAGCAGCTTCCCCCAAGACTTCAGAGCCCTGATCCCTACAGCCTGTGATTGTGTGAGGTCACATGGCGAGGGGAAAGTAAGATTGCAGGTGAAATTTGCTAATCAGCTGACCTTAAAATAGGGAGATTATTCCGGATTATTCGAGGGCTGGAGGATCCTTCTAAGTGGGGAAAGGAGACAGAGAAGAATCAAGAGACGCAGCCTGAGAAGGACTCGACCCCACCTGGCTGGCTGTGAAGGTAGAAAACAGGACCACGTCCAGGTGGGCTCCAGAAACTGGAAAGGTGTGGAAACGGATCCTCTCTCAGGGTCTCTAGGGAAAGCCAGCCTTGCCAACGCCTTGATTTTAGCCTGGTGAGACCCATTTCAAATTTCTGACCTACAGAACTGTAAGATCACGTGCTTTAAGCCACCAAATTTGTGGCAATTTGTTACAATAGTAACAGGAAACTATCGCAAATGTCTGGCTCTGCACGGTGGCCGACATTCACTGAGTGAGCCCTGAGCACAGGCAGCCTCACGAATGGGCTCTCTTTGTCATGATCATCCGAAAAGCAAAATTTGAAAAACAGCTAAAATTGGATAATGGATACTATTAAAAGAAGAGCGGCAATAACAAATGCAAGAATAGCTTGTTTCATACTATTTTTATTTTATCGAGTGTTGTTTCATTTTGATCTCCATATGGAAGAATTTCTTTTCTACTTTGGTCTCTCAAGACCTCAGTTCCTGAATGTGTTGTAAGATAATAAAATAGCTTTTTCAATTGTCCTCACTGGCCTTATAAATCCCTGTGAAACCAGAAAAGACACTGGAGTTCAGGCTGCCTGTCACTACCAAACCCAAAAAGCAGAGACAGGGAGTGAATCTTTATGGCACTTTATTCGGATAGCCAGCGATCTGAGAAGATGGCAGGTTCATACCCTAACAGACCATCTTGTCTTTTCTGGAATTCCAGGCCAAGGTTTTTATAGCAGGGAATAAACAAGGTGTGGTGAGGGGTTTTGAAATTCAGGGAGGAGTTTTTAATTAGATAAAAAAAAAAAGGAACTCCAGCATTCCCACCCTGGGCGGTGGTCTTAAGCTGTGCCCCAGGCAGTGGTCTTTAGCTGTGTCCTGGGCGTGGGCATCTCACCCTGGAGTACAATGGCTCAGATATCACCTTGAGTTGCTTGCAGTTCTTCTGAGAAACAAAGGTAGAAATGCTTATTGTCTTCTGGATTCAGGGTGGGTCATACCTTCAGTTACCAGAACAAAAGCTTTTATATGCATTGATTACTAAGCTTATTACCTATTACTTAAACTAAAATTTTCCGACTCTTAAGTCCCTTATCACCTGGAAAGAAGAGATGAGATCCTGTTGAATAAAATTGTTCTGTGTAGTAGCTTGACATCGTGCTGGGTGCTGGGAGATCTGGGTTCCAATCCTACTTCAGACAGTGTTTGCTGACCTTAATTTTCCCTTGTGGGAGGAGACAGATGCAGATAGGATAGTAGCTGGTGTGTATGAGGGACAGCTGCGTAGAAGGGGCCTGCAGCTCTGTCACAGCGAGACTGAAGTGAGGTGAGTTACTGCTGTGGGTCTAGGATGAGGAATCCGTGTTGGGAACCGCCCTGTCTGGTTTCAGGAATTGTAACTGCCTCCCATGGCTAAGACTGAGTGAGCAACCTCTGGAATGTGAGCCACTCAGAAGACAAAGCTCGTCTCTGATAGCAAACGCTGCCTCAGCTTATTCCTCTGCCCCCAAAGCAGGGTTGATATCCATGACGGGTAAGACTCCTCACATTAAGGAGCAACCTAAACCAGACATGATCGCTTGGGAGGCCATCATGGAAGGACTCAGGGGGTTGTGACAAAGAGGGAGCGATGGACCCTCACCCCCTGGCCATTGTGACATAGCCCAAGTCTCCATGTCCTCTGAGAGAAGCGCTTCCTGGCTCAAATCCACTTAAGCCTAAAAACCTATGATGGGGAAGATGGTGCAGCCTTGTGCTGGAAAGGACAGATTCCTGGGGTGATCAGGCCTAAGAAAGAATATGTAAAAATCCTGTGAAACCTGCTTTGTTTAGAATGCTCTCATTTAAATGATAAGGGTCCAAGCAAGAAGTTTGTTCCTTAAAGTTTTATGGCTCGTTAGCTATCTGACGCTGACTGAGAATAAGCCCTCATAGTTCTTTGAATGCTATTGTTTGACCCTGACCTGTATTCTTGTTCAAACAAACTCAATAAAAGCCCCTTGAGCAGGGGGCTCTTGGCCCTTCCCTTTTGAGGAATAGGCCACCTTTCCTCCCCAAGCAGATCATGTCTTGGTAGTTTCACTTTCATCCATGGCAGATGGAGGGACTTTGAGGGCAAAGTTGCCCCGACAAGTCCATGTCCTAGGGACCTGAAGTTTGCCGTTCCTGGTGTATATACCAGGTATTCATCCAGATGCTGGAAATATGACAATGATTATGACATAGCCCCTGATGTTTAGGAGCTCAGTCCAGAGAAAGAAAAACAGACAGACTAGTGTGCGATTACATTACTACATCACAAGTGAAATGATAGAAGAAGGTGTGGAAGAATAAAAAGATTAAAAGGATAAGACCAGCCCTGGCTGGTGTAGCTCATTGGATTGAGCGTGGGCCTGTGAAGCAAAGGATCACAGTTCGATTCCCAGTCAGGGCACATGCCTGGGTTGCAGGCCAGTTCCCAGTGGGGGACACATGAGGGGCAACCACACATTGATGTTTCTCTCCCTCTTTTCCTCCTTCCCTTCCCCTTTCTTTGAAAATAAATAAATAAAACATTAAAAAATAATAAAAGGATAAGACCAAATCCCATCCCTCGAGGGGGTCAGAGTCTAATAGAAAAGATAAGCAAGTGAGCAGTACACAGAGCAGGAACGACTTGCACAGCAGAACTGCCCGTAGAGGTCATGGGGGGCAAGAGGAGATGGGACGAAGTCTCGGGCTGGGAGCTGGGAGAAGTGACTTCCGTCCAGCAGAAGAGATGGTTTCCTCGCACACCACAGGGCCTAAACAAATGCCTTGTGGGTTTGTAAGCAGTGGATTAAACACTTCATCTCCAGATGAAATGCTTCATCTTTAAATGTTGAGAATTAAATATAACAGAAAATCAACAGGTTATAAATTAATGATTTTTTCTAAACACTCAGTTGGGAATGTCAGCGTGCTGTTGGAGTGACTTTTTTTTACATCATCATTTTTATATAATTAATTCTTCCAGAAAAAAGTTGATCTGCTTTAGATGCTTTCTTCTGAACAACCCACTGTTCATAACATTATATATATGAAATGCAAAAGAAAAAAGGTATTAAAGTAAATCCCTACCACCTAGTTTAAGAAACAGACATTTTCAATATCTTTGAAACTCTAATGACTTCTCAATTATAGCTTTAAAAATTACAATAATTATTTTTTTAAGATTTTTATTTATTTATCTTTAGAGGGGAAGGGAAGGAGAGAGGAAGAGAAATATCAATGTATGGTTGCCTCTCATGAGTCCCCTGCTGGGACCTGGCCTGCAACCCAGGCATGTGCCCTGACTGGGAATCGAACCACGAGCCTTTTGTTAGGAGGCCCATGCCCAGTCCACTGAGCTATACCAGCCAGGGCAAATTACAATAATTATTAAACTTTTAAAATACATGTCTAAAGAGAAAAATATCTTTAAATCTCCTGTTTAGTTAACCCTATTGACATCAGAAATAATAAGGATGAATATGACACACTAAATTTAAAATAATTCATATATACAAAGAATAAAATTAATGAAAGCTGCCCTCTCCTACACCATCCAATCTCTCTCTGAAAGGTAGTTAGCATTAATAATCCCTCATGATTCCTTCCAAAAAATAAAAGTCTTTCTGGAGGTGGGGCAAAGGGAGTGTACTAATAATGATGAGTAATAATAGCAACGAGATTGCTGAATTAAAGAATATATGCAATTTTTAATAGATGTCAAATTGTCTTAGCAAATGGTTGCACCAACATGCATGCCTGTGATTAAATCCAGGAAGATTTTGAAAGTACCAGTAAGAAAAAAAACAGCATTGTATCCACTGCCTTAAAGTACAGACTCCAATGACACTGATGTGTAAATGCTGTGTTGCCTGCAGACGCTGACCCTGGAAACCAGAGTTCAAAGACAGTGCCTGTGCAGGACAGAGGGCTGTGTGGAGAACGTGGCCAGAATTTGTCAGAATGTGTCCAAGTTCATGCAAGATGCCAAAAATGTCAGGATTACCTATGGGAAGGTAAATAATGGAATTATTTTCTCAGGGTTCCAATAGTATCCTGGTGAGAAGTCAGAACTGTCGCTTTTACAAGCTTTGTGGATTCATTCGCTTTTCTGCAAGTACTTTTTTTACAAGCTCATTTCCAGCTGGATGTGCTCAGTGCAGGTTTATAAACTTTTATTATTCAAAAGTAGGTGAAATCACGCTTTCCCTTTTTAAAATTCCCTACCTGTTCCTGTGAAAGTTTTTATGTTTGGAGACCAAACAAATACAAAGGTGTACAAAAGAGAACTATGAACAAATCAGGACACCTCCATCTTTCTTGCTGCAAAAGAAAAGGCAACCCACCAATGACAGCAATCTGCCTATTATGTAAGCAAATTCGTAGCCAAGTGAATTTCTTTTTTCTTTTTGAAAGTGGCATTAGACTTTTTCCAAGTAATGGGTTAACTACTAATTGGTATTTTAAAATGGAAATGCCTTCTCACACAAGCTCCAAGCAGACTTTTTCCCCAGATCTGACCATGGCCTTTGTTTCACCCCCAGGAGAGAATTCTCTCCACCAGACTTTTCCTACATTTCTTCCTCCCCTCCCTCACCTCCCTTTACTTCTGGTAACTAGAGTTGCTTTCCCCATCCACTATGGTCTGAACACAAAATTTCTTGCAAACATCAAGAACTTATGATTCTGGTGCTTCTGGGTTTTTTGTTTTTATTTTTGTTTTTGTTTTTACCTTGCCAAAGCCCTAGAGGAAGGAAATTGTAAAAAGTGCGGCTATGGGCTTGGAGTATGAGATTGAACATATGAGTGGTAAACTGGACCTTTTTGTTAGAGCGAGAAAGATCTTACTTCTCTTGCAGTGCTAACTGGGTTACTCTCTGCCCCTGTGCTTCATCATTTGGAAAATGGGATTAATATAGCTGCTTTCTACTGGGGTTTTGTGGGTTAAATAAAGTGTCTGAAGTATTAATGATGCTTCATTATACAAGTGCTTGTATTTTAAGTCACAGTTGTAAGGCTGTATACAGAAACAGCAGTTTTCATAAGAGAAAAATATACACTACTATACACCAACCACTTACAAAAATAGTCCCACTCACGTATCTCATCATTAACTTTTTTTCATCCACTTAGAAGCTTTAATGAATAATCTCTCTCTCATTGTCATAAAACAACACAGAAGATGGGGGAGGGGATTGGACAAAGGTGGTCAAAAGACACAAACTTCCAGGTATAACGTTGAATAAATGCTGGAGATCTAATGCTCAGCGTAATGACTGGCTGACAGTGCTGTGCGTCATATGTGAAAGAAGTTAAGAGAGTAAATCAATCCTAAGAAGTCTCACCACAAGAAAAATTTTCTTCTTCTTTTTATTGTGTCTATAAGAGATAATGGGTAGTAACTAACTCTAATGCAGGAATCATTTTACAATATATATACATAAACCAAACCATCATGCATTATATTGCATGATGTATACATTGCAATGATGTGCTGACTTATACATTGATACACATCAGTTACTTCTTAATAAAACTGGAAAAAAGATAAAACAGAAATTAGGTAATACAGCATGAACACAATCAGTGTACAGCACCAGATGAGACTACATTGGCTAATGCCTCAGAGACAGTGCACAACACATACCTCAGGATACATGAAACACAAACTGATGCATAACATGCTGCAAAGGCTACGCGTAAAGGAAAGGATGTCCTGATGCATTCCAATGCCATTTAAAACTTTTATTATAAAATGCATGTTATTTTGAATATATAAAGAATAAAATAATAAAACTTAATGTGTCTACCACCTAGACTGAGAAATAAAACATTACCAAACAGATGAAGTCCCCACTCTGCCTCTTCTACATCACAGCCACTCTGTGCAGCAAAAGCTAGTGGGTACATATTGTCACACTTCAAAAGAGACACCTG